CTACAAGCTATTAAATACATTTTTGATGAATGCAGGCAGCAACAGCCTATTTCGTGGCTCCATGGCTTGACGTACAAGATAGATGAGTTACAATAAAACAGCGATTTGTCCTCTGAGGCTGTAGTAGAAACAGCTTTGCCGCGTAGATCACTCCGAGAGCAAATTGTGATTGCATAATTTTATTGCCCTGCACTGTGGAGATGCTGTGCTGTCCTTTGGCTGCACAAACTGAACGTGTGCTGGCACGTAGACACCGTAGGAAATAATATTAACCAAACACTACTCCTTAATCTTCTTCTTCGTCAGTGGTCAAATGTAATATCCAATGAAGGTTGTAATGTAGTCTGACTACAGAGTTATACAACAAAACACAAAGCTCTCACCTTTAGAATGAATTAGCCATCAGCTAACACTAGGTGACTGTTAACTAATGATCTTCAGACGATGATAAAGCAACGATGCAGCTTTGTTCCCTGCGCCAGATGTTTTAGTGCATGTTTGCACATAAATATTTATGGAATAGAATAAAGCTTCAGCCTCTAGAGCGTCTTTGAGATGGCATTTTTAATAGAAGACTAGTAGCTAACTTTTACTATCAAGAAAGAAGCTGAAAAGACTGTGCTACAAAAGAAAGTTTAATGTACTGTGACCAGTACGAATTCATTTCATCTGCCTTGTCTAATCGCCACAATAAAGGTTGCATTTTTGAATTCAGATAAATTCATATTGTTGCAGTGATGTTAGCCAGTTGACTAATCACTGACATGAAGTACAAATGACACGGATATTTCTCCTATTAACTTGGATTCCTCTGTTAGATTTTCTACCAAGCTAATCAGCAAACATCAGGAAAGCAATGACTTTGATTTTCTGTGCTGCTTAAGAATGATAGTCTGCCTGTAGCTTTAGCAACAGCAGCAGAGGAAGTGAACGAAGTCGCTCTGTCCGTGTTGGCCCCATCTGGTGACATGGGGAATAAAAAACAAACAAACACATGTTCAAGAGATATTAAGTTGTGGCCATTACTTGTTATAATGAAGTCATTCCTAAGAGTTATGAAGTCATGTTTTTTTTTTCTCGCCCACGTCACCAGACGGGCTCCTTAGCCAAACCAAGTACTGAAATAACATTGTGAAGCCAATTTCCTGTAAGCTTTGTAGCTAGAATCCCTATTTTTGAGGTTTTCTTTCCTCTGTCACACCTCTCTTACATACTTCACAGATAAACAGTACTAACTGGGTAAAATTTCAAACCTCAACAGAGTCCATACTTCCAAGAAGCAATCGTTTCTCAGCAGCTGAAAAACCCAGAACCTCTGTACGAAGCACAGCGTAGAACAAGAGGCTGGTTTTTACTAGGCTAATGCTGCACTAAAACACACCGTTTTTAATGGGAACAGAATAACACTTAATTATTTTTTTAATTATTATTTAAACAAGGCTCAAACTCATGTCTTGCAACTCGACAATACTTGGAAGGACTGTGACTTCACTTACAGCAGCAATATTTTCTTATAATTACCCTGTTGCTCAAAACTGACAAAAAATAACAAAATAGCGTTAAGATGTTAAACTTTATATTAGGAAAATAAAATGTTAGCTACACGTGTCCCATGCAGAAGAAAGCCAATCTTTTTCCAAAATGAACTAAGTCAGAGAAACTCTTCCTAAACAATATATATATATATATATATATAGGTATTTGTGCTTTTGAATATGCATCATGGAGATAATCATAAAAATTGTTTAAGATTTAATATTACACCCTGTTTCCAGACCAGCTGAGTCTCTGAAAATATTAGCTATTATAATCCCTGATAACTGTTCGCAGTATCGGCAATATTTATCAGTAGCATCCAGTAAACATATTTCCTCACAGAAAACCATAAACAGAATATAGAAATTTACTAGAAATCATTGCTCGTCAAAGCGGCTACGAAATGTCTCTAAGGCAGATTTAAATGTAGTGTTGGTAGGAAACGTCCCACGGCAAGAGAAGAATTGGGTATAAAATCAGTAAAACTACAAAATTCTGTCATGGAAAGGTGTCCTTTTTGAACATCTGTCTCATTTTAGTCTGACTTTGAACCAAATGTTACTACTGACAGGAAATAATGTTAGAGAAAACTCAAGCTACGAATGTTTTGACATCTTTAGCCTAGCCTAGCATTACACCAGCCGTGCTCAAAATACCGTCTGTTTGACTTTTAATGCTGTTGTTGATACTGTCCCCAGGGCTCGGATGTAAAGCATTTTTCATTACCAGAACGTGTCATTTTTTTACAGAGTCAAAAATGATCTTTGAAAAATTGTCTGGATTTCTGTAGTTATAGTTAACTATAGATTAGTTAATGTTTGGCTAAAATAATGCCTTCCCCTAATTATATTTTGTTTAACAGCTTATGATAAGATGATTATGATTTAGCCATTTTTTCCAAATCATTTTAATTACTTTCTATGCAAATAGGCAAATTTTGCTGAATTCAGTATAATGTGCAATCACTTGGACAAAACTATAGCCTACTAGGAAGTAGTGAAATGTTGACTTCAACGATGTTAAAGCAGATAATTTTGGGAATTAAGCTTGAGAAGCATTTAGCAACGAGTTTACATAGCTTTACTACCAGGTATTGCCTGCTATAGAGTGAAATACATCAAAGGTTTATATAATTTTGACAATATTTTACATGTCTAACCTACTGGTTTGCTGCTGTAACATCGCACAATTGCTCAGATTTTTTGAACAAGCTGCAAAGGGATTTGATTCCCGTAAATGTTGGGTTGTCAGTTTATGATGATAAATGTGCCAGGAAACATAATATAGACATTCATGGTGGCCTCAAAATCCATTAAAAACAAAACAACAACAAAAAAATCATTGACACAGCTGTGTAACAAACTGGATGTAGCATACTGGTAACATTCCACTTTTTATTACTGGCCTACTTTGTTCATCTTTTTTTCCCCTCTTTTTTTGTTTTTCTAACAAAATTCCGTCGTTAAAAATCTTTCGTTATACTTTTTATAGAAAATATTTTTAAAAAAGAGCAATTTACAGTTATCTTACACTTCAAATGTCCTCTGGCTTTTTGTTTTGGAACAGATATGACTTGTTTTGTTCTTTTGCAGCACAAGGTGTCACAGAATATGCATCGCAACAACAAACAGAAGTCACCACAGCTCAGGAAAAAAAAAAGAATTTCTAAAAATACGGAGACTTCATACAAGAAAAAGAAGAAAAACAAACACAAAAAAAGAAATACATGCATACATACAAACACAATGCCATGCGAACACAGTTCATTTTTGGGAAGTAAATTAGTTAAGATTTGCATTTCAGTACCGTTATTCAAACATTTCATGCCATCTCGCTATACATACATGACATGGGTTTTACAGTATGCGACATTCACTGCATCTGCTGTGGCAAATGGCTACGAAAAGGCCTAATTCTTTTGCAGGGGCAATGTCTCGTCGATGAAATTGCAACTTCAGTGAGAAATTCACACAAACACGTTCTAACCCCGCTAACAATGTTCATTCATAGTAGACTATTGAGAAATTTTTTTTCTTTCGCTCTTTTTTTTTCCTTTTATTACTTTTGTCCAAAAATTTTAAAATCAAGTTAAGGTGCACATAAATGTGGGCTCAGTAACAGTTGGATATTTAATAACTAAAATGTTCGCTATCCCTTTGTGAAACAATGCATTTTCCACAATAAAATTTGCTTCTGCGTGAAGATTGCAACCCCGCTTCCGACTACGGCATTAGTCAAGCTGGACGAGGAAACCTCACCGTGTTGGTGCTGGTACAAAGAAACAAAACAGGAACTCTTCCCTCTAAACCAGCTTTAGCAGCCCTGTAGGAAGATATCAACTGGCTTATAATCAGCTATATTTGTGCACAAATGGGGCCCCCTCTATTTATTACAATGCAGCAGCTAAGACTTGCCTGCCGGAGGTTATCTGTTGGGGTTTGTTCTGGGAGTTCAACAGGGACACTCATCAGGCCGTGGTAGAAGAAGATAATGCTGTTTACCCTGGGAGGCGAAGGTACCCATTTTAGTATGTGTAGAGGACAATGTCATTTTTATTTATGTGATTTCATTTGATGTTTTGCAGCAAAGAGGAGTCAGTTGTTGTTAGGCATGAGCTTTGTTCTATGTCAAATATACCAAATATATATTTGGTATATTTATACCAAATATAAATATACCAAAGGTTAAAAGTCAAAACGAAGTCAAAAACTGTCAGCCTGGTCATCATCTTCCTACGCAATTTTGCTCGATTCTCATCTCCTTTCAGTGCTCCAGCTCAATGGGGTTTCTCCCATTGAGCTGGATTTTTCCGGTAGGATTTCAACCAATCAGCGAACAGAGGGAGGAGTTTTTGACGTCGATTTTCTGCCCTGTTTTGAATTGTAATTTGCCTGCAGTTTTAGCAATGGCAGCAGAGGAAGTGAACAAAGTCATTCAATTTGTATTGGTTATGCTTCCAAATTTTTAAACAAACATTTATAGCTGTCCTGTTTGGTTCAGCGCTTCTATCTTGGCAGTGGTGGATGGATTTTACAGCCCTGGTATTTACCCAATCGAACGTTGGCGATTGGGTAAAATTTGAAACTTGATCAGAGTCTACCCTTTCAGCAAGAAATCATTTTTCAACGGCCAAGGGTCCCGACCCTCTGGTTTGGTTTTTGGGACTGGTTTTTACCAGGCTAAAAATTGCTAAAATGTTCTGTCACGTTTCCACAGTTGACATTTTGTTAAAAGAGGAGCTAATTACAGTGTCATAGAACTAGAAGTTTTCTTTTATTCAATTGGGGTTTAGAGTAGGGCTTCCTGCTCCATCCTGCGTGCCAGAAGAAGAACCAAACTTCTCTTAATGTTTAGAGACCAGGCTAAACCGACTGCTTCTGAAACAGGTCAGGCACATTGTTTTCAAAAGAAGGGATCAACAACCACTTTTTTGGGGGGTGGAAGTGTGGGGGGAGACGTTTGGAATAATTTTGAAACAAATGTTAGCAACAGGCTACGTTTTGTTAGTATTTATGAAGTAAAACAAATCCCCCAACAGTAAAGTGACTACTTTCTGTGAGGTCCATTCATAAAAAATAAATCAATCGCTTTCCTTCAACTTTTGTTGGATGTTTTAAATTATTTTTCTTACATTGATAATAGTATCTGAACTCTGGTGCTTTTGTCTGATGTAATTGTACCATCAGCTGTTACTATTGTTTCCTAACAAATCCAGGCCTTGTTTTGTTTGCTTGTTTTTAAACCTTTTCAGTAGTGAAAAACAAGACAGAGGCACCGGCCATCACTCAGTCTACACAATAAATCTATACTACTAATAAGTTCAGCAGGAGCATATTCTATGTTACTGACCAAAATAATAATTGTATTGTCATGGGTGTAATATTCACTATGGTATATTAGCAGAAGTAGGAATAGTTCAAGTATTTATTATTTTAAATTAATTCAATCAGTTTATGTTAATTGATTTTTGTTTAAAATTTGCGTATTAGCATCATTATAACCTGAATCCCTATTATATTTACTCGATGTTATCGTACCAATACTGGCCCAAGCCAAGTACTAGCCAGCTTTCTTGCTTTCTCTCTGTTTTTCTGTTTAGACTTTTAAACATAGCGTGCATCAATATAACCTGGTCAAAAGTATAAAAGTAACTCAATAATTTGTAACTTTGGCTGTTTTGTCAGTGTAAATGGTTAAAGGAGTTTAGATCTAAAAGTAAAAGAAAAATCCCAGAAATTAAATTTGTATTCATAAAATCCACAGCTTTCAGAAAAAAAAACTTCATCTGGAAGGAACAACCTGCTAAACAATTAAAAATTACAATGTGCATTTTGTTGGGATTTTTCTCCAAGGTAATTTTTTTCCTCATAATATGAAACAATATGAAGCGAGTTATTTATTCGCCCCATTTTTATTTTTATTGTAAAACCTGCATCATCATCACTTTCAATCAACAGCAGTCAGTTTTGGGATGAAGGGGTTTCAATTCATGGTCATTACTTTTCTTATGAATATTAAAACTCACTGAGATTTTATTTTTAATAAAAAAAAATAAAAAAAAAACTAGAGAACAACAGCTTCTGTACACTATTTGGCACCATTAATAGGAACTGAACGGCGTTCGAACCTGACAATCACCAACTGCACCGTAACTGAGAGTTTCTGCTGTGATTGATCCGCTGAAGAGCTCAACGTAATAAGCCGACATTTTGGTTTTAACGTTTTCAATGCACAACACTGGAGTTCTGCTGTTAGGCTTATTGCCTTTGAAATGCTGCTGCACAACAGTCCCTTCCCACCGGCTCTCGCCCTCTGCAGCTCACTGCAGCATTTTCTGGCCCCTGCCTAAGAATTTCTACAAACTCTGGAACAAACTGAATTTTCTCCCTCTACTTTTGCTGAACCTTGACAATTCTATCCTCGCAATTTAATGTGGAAGATAGTTCTTCGTAACGGACACAGTGTAAGCCATCTGCCAGGTTCAGCTGTTGCTGAGCTATTTTTGATGCTACAGAAAAGGATGCAGTGGGCTTTCGGCCTACTGTATTTTTCTCTCTGCACATGATTTGGTTTTGTCTCCTTTTGCTGATACTGAGGGGGTTAAAGTAAGGTGCGTGCAGAGTCGTCTTTGTCTGTTTTATCTGCTCACGTATCACTCTTACTGACGCATCTCAGTGTCTGCCCCTTAAGGAACTTTGATGACCCTCATCTGTTTATTGAGAGATGACTGCAGGAGATGAACACACAACTGGTAACATCAAAACCCACATATTACCGTATTTCTGCAGATTTCTTTAAAGATTTAGCAGGCAAGTTTTGGTAACTAAATTGTTTTGTATTTCTAGGAGTTGGGGAAAGCTTAAGTAACCAGTTTGTGCTAATGACACACTGTCTGGACCGAGGGACTGAATGATCGACCAGTTGGGGCTGCACTAGAACCCGGTCAACTTAGCTGCTGTTGTTAGGGAGCAACCACTCCTTGGCGGACACCATATACTCCCCTACATCGTAAGAGATGCCTCAGCATCTGAGAGTCCACCAGTAAGCCACGGTTCTGATCACTGACGTTAGTAACTGCTCAAACGTTTGTCACATGATCAGGATTTTCCCTGACTTCGATGCACTCTATCTCCTCCCGTTCCCTCTCCCGCTCGCGTTCCCTCTCCCGCTCTTTCCGCTTCGCCCGCTTTTTCTTCTTGTGCCTCTTTTTGGACGGTGGAAAGAAAGTCAGGAAGACGGGCAGGATGACGAAACAGTGCAGCAAAGTGCAGCCCGCCGTGAGCAGGGAGCACTTGAACAGCGTGTAGGTCAAATTGGAAGGCACAAACACTAGAGGCATGATCCCGATCACGAAGCAGGACGTGTTCTGCAGGATGGCCGCCCCGTGCTCCTCCAGTGCCAACTTGATGCACTGCGTCCTCGTGTGCTCAGTGGCCAACACAAAAGTGTACAGGTGTGGTGCACAGTGATCCATAGCGAAGTTGAGAGTATAAATAAGGCACAGGATTGAGATGCTGTCCATGCCGACGTTCCAGAGGGTCATCAAACCCAAGACGCCCAGCTCCACGGACGTAACCGTGAGAACGAGCCAGAAGTTTCCCAACGGGTTGATGACCAGGAAGAACGTGAGGATGAGGATGGTGAGCACGCTGAAGCCTGAGGTCAGGATGGGCGAGATGACGGAGGAACTGTAGCGGTCCATGAAAACAAACGTGGGATTGAAGGCAATGAACTTGATGCTGTTGATCAGCATCAAGGGGCGAAGCTTCTCCAAGAGCTCCACCACCTCCTCTCTCTTCTTCTCCGTGGTCCGCGCTACCAAGTACATGCGCGAGGCGATGATGTCGTACTCGTCTGTGTTGCGGTTTTTCGAGAAGATGATGTCCTCTGTAAAGTGCTGGTACTCCGGGCTGCGCAGGAAAGAACCCTTCAGAATATTGATGAAGTCACTCTTGGTCGACGCGCTGATGTTCACCACCCGGAGGTAGTGGAAAAAGTTGTCCATCCAAGAGATCTTGTTGAAGCCATGACTGAGAGTCTTCAGGTGCTCCTGCACAGTGGAGTTCCAGTACTCGATGGGCTCGTAGATGTAAAACCCAATCACAGGACTGTAGTTACTGAAGTACTTCTGCTGGGTCACAGCGTACGAAACGCTTGGCGAGTTACTGGCCAGCAGGTTCACTATGTTCGATCCATCACTGATTTGTAAACATCCCATGAATGAAAAAGAAGCATAGATGAGATAAAGGATGACCACAAAAGGCTTGACGTAGGTGTTGGTAATCCACTCGGTGTAATGCTCGCGCAGGAAGTGCTGGATGAAGTGATTTTGGTACGGCACACTGTCGTGGTGGGTGGACAGGTCATGGCCGTCGCTCATCATGGTTTTAAACCATGTTGGCTGGCGGTCCAAGTATTCTGCTGAGGGGATCTTGCAACAGAAAACGCTGTGGTAGCGGTTCTGCTCAAGCTGTCCGGCGAACACCAGGCAGGAGCCATAAAAAGAGAAAACGTAGAAGTAGTTGACCAGGATGGCCACGCACATGCTCTGGCAGAAGATTTTCACCGACTCGATGTTGGTGAAAGGGCTGGCTCCCATGCCGAAGGTGATGATGTAGAGCGAGCTGGTCATGGTGTAGCACACCATCACGTCGGCGAAGGCGTCAGCCACGCGCTCCTTGAAGGGAAGGTTTTCCCTTGTCCTCCTCCAGCCTGCCAGAAGTTCAAACACCCCTTTGGTTCCATGACCTGCAGAGGAAAGGAAAGAGGAATGTCAGGATATGAACATAGAAGTAGCAGATTTACAGTATTTGATGTGGTCATATGAGTCAAACCACTCAGAAAATATGGGTCATATATGTGGATTGGTAGGTCACCTATCTGACCCACCAATCCACATCGCTTCATCTCTACATGGGTATTGGATTAGTAAAACTATGATAATAACTTTGTACTTTTTTCCATCCTTTCCATGATAACAAGGATACTTTGCAAAACTGAGATTCCCTGCTTTGTTTGCAACTCCTGTGGACACAAAGACCGAGAATTTTAAAAGTCCATTCCAAAAGGACAACTTTTCAAAAACTCAGATTGTAATATATCCATGTATATAAAAAAATGGAGTGTATTTTTACAGCAATTCATCAAATCCATAGAAGCCAAAGGCGCCACATTCAGTCATCCAGCCATTCACGCACACATTCACAAGTAATGGTGGGAAGCTACTACATAGCCACTGCTGCCCAGGGGAAGTCTGCTATGGCAACTGGGGATGCTGTGTGTTAATGCACTGTGAATAGAAACATTTTATTTGTGCACATATATTTACTTCAGTCAGCTTAAATCTTGGATCTTACCATCAGAATGGTGCAGTTCCACTCTGATCATGATGCTTGTGTTTTGAGAAAAACAATCTGAGGGATTTGCATGAAAATCAACAAATACGGACCCATTTTTATTTCCCAAATTGTTGCATTTCTTCAAGCTGCTGCCATAGAAGAGACACGCAGCCTAACCAAACCAAAACAACAAGCTGGTGCTGGAAGTTTAAGGTTGTTTTCACACTGGTATATTCAGTTCCACTGGAAACCAAAACTCAAACACTTTCAGTTGGTGTGGCTCGCTTTCACACTACAGCATTTACTTAGTATTAGATCAATATAAAAATTCCCACTATCGCGCACCCGTAATAAATATTGATGAGTCAAAATGAGTTCCACTTTTCTATAAACAGCCAACAGCTTCTCAAAGAAAAAAGTTGGTATTTCATTAAAAATAACTGTCAAGAAAACATATGTTTAATTAAGGACAGCCAGTGCAATTCGAATGACAAATATTGCTTTTGGCACATTGCTAACTGGATCAAATATTTTCCAACAGGATTCTGCATCTTTCTCACATGGATCTTGGGAACTGTCTCCAAGATTTGTGTGAATTTGGATGTTCTCTCTGTGCAAGCGTGGGATTTCTCTGGGTACTCTGAATCCTCCCACAGTCCACTATCTAAATTGCCCAAGGTGTGTGTGTGTTTTTTGTGTGTATACAGCTAATCTCTTCTCCATCTAGTTCCCTCCAACTCCCCCACTTGTCTGTAGACCCTTATGGCATGCAAATCAGCAGAAAACCGTTGCTGCACCTTTAAATAAATCATACATTTGTTTTACCCGCTTCGTAAGCATCTTAACACCGTTCCCTTCCACCGCCTTCTCTCCTCTCCTTATACGTGAGGTGTAATTGTACTCGGGGGTTGTTACGCAACGGGATCCAAATCCGTCTTCTTCAGGTCCATTCACTGGAATCCAATCTGTGGGCCTTTTCACGAGTCAAAAATACAGACAGAGAAACACAGCGTACAAAGGCATAGAGCAAAACCACCCACGCTGGAACACCCATTCACCCACACGCCGTGCCGCCGTTGAAAAATGCACGAGCCGCATGGCTGGGAGTAAATGTGCTCCGGCAGGAAACAGTGAATGCACGATCAACTCCATGTTCCCGGGCCACATGAATGTTTCAGAGCGGTGAACGCCGCCACATTTGGAACACCCCAGTCATCGGCCTAAGGATGTGCCTGCGCGACGCTAGCAGGCCGACGGAGTCACTACCCTTGACGACGTTCTAAATTCCCCTTGTTTGACACAGAGGGGAAAAAAAGCTAATTAACTATAAAGGATTAAGCCTATGTAATGAGTCAGCTAGATGACGCTTCCTGCTTTTAGTTTTATTAAGCTGTCCTGCAAGTCAGTTAGTGTCACTTGGTTTAGAGGGAAGGAAGAGAGGGAAGAACACCAGGGGCCTCCACATGCGTCTTCCTACTCAGATTATCCAACAGGATGTAAAGAAGGATGTCATTTTGTAGACATGATTGAAAAGGATCTAGAATTCATTACGGTGATTGATTTCAGGCAGGTGGAGGTGGATTACAACAAGCAGCCCATCTGGAGACGAGTCCCTGGTTAGAAACATTACCAACAGAGACTTCTGCCGTCGCTGTTGAATATCCAACAAATTAGGCTGTGTCACTTCCAGTGCATCTGGAAAGTATTCACAACCTTTGCTTAATACTTTGTTGAGTCACCTTAGGGAGCTTTTACAACCTCAAGCCTTTCTGAATGTTTGGTTCATTCCTCTCTGTAGTTCTTATCCAGCTCCATCAGGTTGGATGGAGACATCTGTCAACCATGTTCAGATCTCTCCAGAGATGTTTAATCAAATTCTAGGCTGGACTCTGGCTGACATTCACAGAAGCTTTAGATCTCTAAAGCTTCTGAAGCTTTAGAGATCTTGGCTATGTGCTTTGAGTCATTGTCCGGCTCTAGTCTCAGGTCAAGATGCTCTGCAGCAAGTTTTCATCCAGGAAGTCTCTGCACATGCGCCTCATGTTCACTCTTGCTGGGTACGTCAGAATGAATTAATCAGAATACCTTTACTGTTATTGAACAGAAGCATGAGAAAGTTTCATTTCAGTACGGCCCATCCAAATAAAATACAAACAAACAGCATAAGCCATGGTAACAGATATAAACCAAGAACGTCTGCAAAGTGTGGACGCCACGTAGAGAGTTAAGTGTGAGGTTGGAAGGAACTGAACAATCATACGGTGAACTCCGACACACTAATATAAACATCACATTTGTTATGGATGACGAGGAAAGTGGATGTGACACAGGGCAACAGATGTTGTTTTCTGCCTTTTATAATTACTGCGTTAACAAAACTAAACCCAGTCACCATGATGTTCCTTACACAAAGCAACACAATTTTTCTGCGATTTTACGACCGAACACGACTCCGTCTCCGCAGTGGAAACCCATACTTTCTTTTGATCTTGTTCTCTGATCTGCGCACACACACTCCGCAGAGCAACGGCGAGTACACAGTCAGCAATGAGAGCAGCCTGGCTGTACTCTCCCAGTGATGTCATCTTGTTTTTGGCAGCTGCAGTAAAAAACTTCACCAGTCTGACTCAAAATCGCTTCTGCACACAACACACTTGTTTATGCTGCATAAAGATGAGGTTGTTTTTTTTAAAGCCAGGAATTACCATGTAACAATGAGCACACTGCATCTCTGATGACAACATTAACACATTCAGATGTCAGGAACCCTGACTAACTTTGCTTTCCTTCAGTGCTACCTTCAAGGCTGCCGAGTGAATAAAATAGCCACTGTTCCTTTGTATTTAAGGGATTCTGTGTGTTGGAGTGAATCTGAGTTGCTATGGCAACTAGGGATGCTGTGTGTTAATGCACTGTGAATAGAAATATTTTATTTGTGCACAGATATTTACTTCAGTCAGCTTAAATCTTGGGTCTTATCAGAATGGTGCAGTTTCACTCTGATCATGACGCGTGTGCTTGGAGAAAAATAAATCTGAGAGATAGGATTGATTGACCAGACAGTATTGGAACTAAAGTGTTCAAAGTGATTGTTTTTATATAACTGACACTAAAAATGATTAAAAGACAAAGCATGAAAATCAATAAAAATAGACCCATTCTTATTTGCCCAAATTGTAGCATTTCTTCAAGCTGCTGCCATAGCAGAGACACTCAGCCTAACCAGACCAAAACAACAAGCTGCTGCGGGAAGTTTAAGGGACCAAAATGGTGACATCTGTTACATTTTTAGCTGCTGTGGTTTGCTTTCACACTGCACTCTGCCAAATGAACCAAACCATTTGGAAAACTTGTTCACCTCCTTGCCTGTGGTGGCGCTGCAACAAGAAGCACTGAAAGAAAAGACACAAAAACCTGAGCACAACTTCCTTCTGCATTAAACGTAAATAGAAATTTGATTTTTAGGATTTCTCTTTTGTCTTCGGTAAAAAGACCAAAAGCCATTTCTACTGCTAGCACAACACTCACAGGTTTGTTTTGGTTGTATTTACCCAGAATGCCCTGCACTTTAGTCAACTACCTGTTTTGGAGTGGTCTCCAGTCCACTTGGCCTTCACATATGCATTCGAATAGAGCCAAAGTTCACTTCATCCAAACCGAGACCAAGGCTTGTAGGTGGACCAGAGTTTGCTTTTTTGGTTCTCATCATATTTATATTGTTTATTCACACCTCTGCATATGACCTGGACATTCCAGTCAAATGAACTAAACAGACAAAGTGGACTAAACAGGGCTGGAGGGAATGCAGCCTTATACTCTGCTAGCATGGTGAGTACATCCAGAAAAAAACAGCTGACCAGGCTAACAAGGTTATTGTTCAGAAGTACTTTCTCTATGAGACAGACTAACAAAAGGAAATGCAAAATGATGCTGCTTGTTAGGTGTTCTAATGCTAAAAGCTAACAGCGTGACTGACGTTTGAGAGCAATTTACAAAGACCAATAAAGCTCCTGTATTTTGTAACATTGACATAGTGCTTTTACTAAATAGTGAGTTGCTGGAGGTGTGGTCTCTGTTGAAGCTTTATATTTTACACAATCGCAAATGATGTACAAAATTCGCCAAAAGTGAACTGCAAGTAACCCTGTGGGGAGTTCTTTACATTTCATCGTTGCATCTTTGCCAGCAATAAAATGTCTCTTGCTCCAAATTTAATTGGTCTGAGTTTTTGAGTGTGGCTAACATGGACTGAATGGCTTTGTTCATTTCCTCCGCTGCCAATGCCAAACTACGACTATGTAGAGGCAGAATAAAATTCTAAAGCAGTGCAGAAAATCTGCATCAATCCTCCTTCTGCTCACTGATTGGTACAGTTGAAATTACAACGAAGAAATCAACCTCCATGAAAGA